CTTTCTTCATTCAGTACTTTTGATAGATGCACTATATGACATTGGTTCAGATTGAGAGGAACTCGGACCCTATTTATGGAGAAGATTTAGATGATTGCAAGGTTTGAGTGAGCCAGTTTGGAGTCTAGTTAACATAGGATGCCTTGTAGGCTGAGGAGACAGACTTGGCCTGTGCAGAGATGGAATGTTGGAGAGCTGTGTTTCTTGAGTAGATATGATATTGAGATTCACAGGAGATTGATGAGTATTGCTAGAAGAGCAAAGATTTTCTTGGAAGTATGATGAGTCGTTGTTGATATACTGGGAATTGGAGATTAGTATGAGAAATGATGGCTGAACGTAGGTGGTTGGATTGGATTGTTGATGGATAGACTTTTGAAAAGGAAACGAGTCTTCAGAAAACGTGACATGACTTGAGATGTGAATGATATTTTATTCTTTTTGTAAACATTTATACCCTTTGTAGTTATCTGAATAACCCAGAAATACGCAAGATATAGATTTGGGTTGAAGTTTATTGCGAGTATGGTGAGGAGTTAACGGAAAACATTCACAGCTGAATGTTCGTATATGAGAGTATGAAGGTTTGATATTCTGAAAAAGATGAAACGGGGAGATATTTTTTGTAGTTGTGGAGGACATGCGATTTATGAGATAAATAGCAGTTAGAGCTGCATCATGCCAGAATTTGTGAGGAATAGAGGCCTGTTGTAAAAGTGTCCTAGTTGTTTGAAGAATGTATTTATGCTTATGTTCAGCCAGACCATTCTGTTCTGGTGTGTAGGGACATGAGATTTGGTGGTGAATACCGTTTTGAGAAAGAAATTGTGTAAATGGTGATTGAGGTATTCACGACCACCATCGATTCTGATGGTTTTTATTTTATGAGACGATTGATTTTATACAAAGACTTTGAAATTTATGAATACATTATAAACATCATATTTGTGCATAATCGAAAATAGCCACGTAAAATGCGAGAAGTCATCTATGAAAATTACATAGTATAGAAAGATGAGGATTGCTGCTAGCAATAAGATGAGTAATCTTGTGATGGGGATGCCCCAGAAGGTTATGCCATATGTCCGAGGAATGCATGATCGCTTGGAATGTTGAAGGTGTCAGCTAAACCAGATTGGAGGATATGGGATACAGACCGTCTTTACAGGGGCCTTTGAGGAGGATTTGATTTGTCTTCATATCCTTGAATAAAAAAACCCAACGGATCAAATGTGATAGATATATCATTATCTTTGATAAGATTTGAAATGGAAATAAGGTTGTGAGATATGTTCAGAAGATGAAGTAGATGATATAAGTGGAGCTTACGAGACGGAGTTGGAAGGATACCAGTGCCCGAGTGAGCAATCGGAATCGTCCTCCCATCTCCGATGGTTACTGTGTCAGAACCCTTGTAAGGCATCAGTTGTGAAAGATTATCCTCAAGATTCATCATGTGGGAAGAAGCTCCATAGTCCATGTACTAGTCAGTCATTGCCAATTCAGCAGTAACGACCATAGCTTTGTTAGTAGTGGATTGTAATTTATGTTGAGTATGTGCCAGCAAGCTAAAGTCGTATGCCCTCTCTTGTTACAAATTTGACAGATTGTAGCTGATTGAGATGGAGTCCGCGTGTTGGAGGTGGTGTTCTGCGGATACCGTCCACGATTTCTTTTATTTCTTCCTCGATATGTATATAATGCAGTTTGTGAGTCATGATTCATAGAGATTATGGCATTGTCTGCGTTTATGTGAATTTCTTCGCTTATTAACAGCGCGTACAAGTTGTCAAGACTGGTCTGAGTAAGAGTCGTTCTTATCGCAATCTTAAACGCTTGATAAGGAGGTGGGATACCATTCAAGATATACATGATTATATCTTCATCATCTATCATGGAACCTGCAGCCGCGATCTGATTCACCTGAATTTTGATTTCTGTCAGATATTGTGTCATAGAGAGCGCCTTCATGGAGACATTATGTAGCTTGTTCTTGAGCTTGATAACTTTAGATTGGTTAGTTGATTGAAATATGATTTCAGGTGTCTTCCGTTGCGCTTGCGGATAGAAATCCGATTAGAGAAGAAGCGGAGTTCGCCATGGAGGATACGCCAGAAAAGAACATGCTCTGATACCATAAAGAATGAATAGAAATGGAATAGTAGTAATCAAGAAGACAAAGAATGAGTTGAGAAGCTGTTCTGAAACAAATTGTATTTCTTGTTATTATTACATGCTAAGTCACTAGTATATAAAGACTTGTATTTACATGAATACATGTGTACAGTTGCTATAGAAAGAATTTATTATGCTAGCCGATGTGGTATTTATTAAGTTATGTTTTTGTCTTCTAATATTAGGGAACATTGATAACGTGGCCTTCTTACTCTTGGCATATTGAGAGTGCCAGCTTTCTTATTAGTTTATTTTTAAAATTGTAATCATAATTTTTATTTGATATTTATTTTTCATAATTAAAAAAAAAATTATAATAGTAAGTTACTTTCTACAATAATTTTATAAAATTATTTTTTCTATAGCAACTTCACGAAACAATAAGAAAGTCAGCCAAAATAGTTTTTATCTCTAACACAAAATTTTATAATTCAATAATTTTTTAATAATAAAAAACTGCTTTAAAAATCAATAAAAAAATTATCTCAAATGAAACCTAAATCCTCCCCTTCATTATTGCCCTGTGTTGGAGTGGGCATATCATATCATGCAGATGCAAGGTACTTCTCTAATGGGGAGACTTAGCTATGAAGGAAACATAATGCTCTTTTTTTTTAACTTTTGAATCACTTAAAATAAATTTATACATATCACATATATAAAATTCAAACTCAAAAGCTCTTGGTTGATAATTAAAACTCCCAATCAATATCAAGATCAGTTGCATACATATAAAGCTCTCTTGGTTCACCTTTTTTTTTTAATTAAGAAAATAGGTGAATTGAGCGAGGGGCAGATCTACATAAAACTCAAGGGAGCCTTGGTCCCCCACCATCTACTTTTTAGTCTTATTACAAGGATTTTAGCATTTGTGAAATCTCTACACATTTACTTATAAGTTTTCCTCCCATGAAAATGAAGGCTGGTTCCATCCATGAATTGAACTTTATTTTGAGTTGTTTGCCTTATCAAGTATGTTGAAGTGCTAATTTGGTGCATTAACAAATAATTTATGTTGTGATTAATGGGACTTTTCATTTTGTTTTTTTTTTTAATCTTTATTTGTTATAGGTGTTCCTTGAAATCCGCATGACATCATTTTAGAAGGAGCTATTATTCTATACAGACACCTGACGGAAGAACCGTCTGGTTAAGCACTGAGTACCCAACAATACTAAGGGGTACTGAGCTGAATACCAAACGATGGGGTGACATGGCGCTTTTTTTATTGGTCTCCAGACTCTGCACATAATAATAAATCTTTTGGAAGAGCGCCTACTGGCTAGGTTAGCATTGTGCTTTTTATATATATGTTTATATGAGCATAGCTTAAAATTTTGTATTTGACCATATTTCAATATTAAGATTAATTTACAATTAATTAAATTTATTTAAAAATAAATATAATAATTAATTTCTTTAATAAAACCGTAAAAAAATGAATATATTCATTTTTGTTTGCAAAAAGTTAAAAGTTCCTCCGATTAATTTTTTGGGGAATAGTAAAGTGAAAAGTTGATGAAAATAAAATAAAATTATTTTTTAAGCTATGATTTGAAGATAAACTAAACAAGACAAATTAACATGGTTATTAAAATCAGATTAGATCGATCATTTCAGTCGGTTGATCCGAAACCGGCTGGCTGATCGGTCTGACTAATCCTAAAAACCGGTCTATCATCAAATTGATAAAAAACCAGACAAACCGTCCGATTTTGAAAGAACCATCCAATTAGAATCGCGCATAAAGGGAGTTGTGGATTGTAAAATGAACGGTCGAAATCAATCTCTCTAAGCTACTCAGCACGTAGTTCCTTCGTTTCCCCCTCTCAAATCACGGTCATCCCTCTGTTCTACTCTGCCATAAGTCGTCGATTCTTCTTCAATCTTGTTGGACCATGCAAGTCATTGAATCTTCACAAGGCTTGCTTTCACTGTCAACACTACAAGAGAATGCTCAGGGTCTTCATTACTAACTTCTTTCCTTTCTTTTTTTCTCAATCTTCTTCTTCTTCCCGCATCTATTTGCCTCGTAGATCTGTGGTTTTGGTCTTTTATTTCTATTTATACACCATTCTTTGATTTCTTTTTCTATTGAACTCGAAGGGATCATGTTTTGTAATTAGAGGATTTGATAGAGCAATCATGGTTTATTTGATGGTTGATGGATTACATGGGTATCTTGTTTTCGTGACAATTTTCTAATAAGTTTTATTGTTTAATTACGGATTTGACTTCTGTTCTATGGTTTGTGTTTGATTTCGCATAGATTATTTTGTGGTTTTAGCGCTATCATGGTAATGATCATTCCTTGGTTACTTTTTGGACTAATTTATCTTGAAATCTATTGCAAACACTGTGTTGCGTACAATTTCATGGATTAACTGCAAGAAGATATAAAATTTGTGATTAAGGATTAGTAATATCTCTTGTTTTTGTTTGCTAAGAAAGAGAAAGCGAGAACTAGACATGTTAAACTTTTGTTTCACTCCAAACAAATCTTGGATACTGCTCTGTTGAAAAGTAGGATTTTCCTATGTGATATCGAATTCTAAAAAGGAAAATTAGGTTTACTTTTGTGTGATAATATAAAATGTATTTGATTTTCTAATTATCATCTTCATCTCAAAATAAATAAAACATTAGTCAAAACTTTGATTAGAATATTGATCAAATTTGTCGCCAAATCAACAAATTGTGTTCTGTTTATAGCAACTATTATTAGCTACATCCAACCAGTTAGAAACGGCCAAATTTTGAGATTCTCGATGTACTGGAGATAAAAAAATTTGGCCAGCCGTGGAACCATATGCATTTGAACAAAATTTGAGATTAAAATATGAAGTCATTAAGATCTTTCTTATAGGGTAGATGATCAGAAGTTCATAGTAAAGATAATACCAAGTACTTTATTACATAGTCATTCATCAGCACCATAACAGAGCTTCTATAAGCAAACACACATCACATATAAGCACTCCCCAATCCATGCCCTAATCCTTCTCTGTTCCTGCAAAAGAAAAAAAAAAAAAAAAAATTCTCATCAGAACAAAAACTACAAAGCAAGACGCAAATCTCCAAACAAAATGAACAAAATAAAAAAAAATCAAACAACCTAACCTCGCAGAAGCAACAAAGAACGCAGATTAGGGATGATATTTTGGGGGATCTAATCGCTGTCGCTGCTGCTGCTACCATGACCGTGGTGCTCGCCCTCCTTCTTGTCCTTTTTCTTCTTTTTGTCCTTCTTATCACCCTTCTTTTCCTTCTTCTCCTTCTCGCCGCCATGGATCTTGTCCTCCTTCTCACCGCCATGGATCTTGTCCTTGATCTTCTCCACGATTCCCTCCTTGTGCTGCTCCCCTTCTTTGTGATGCTCTTCGCCAGAGTGGTGCTGCGCCTCAGCGTTGTGTTTCTCATGCTCCTTGTGCTGATCGCCGCCGTGGAGCTTCTCCCCGATCTTGTGGATTATTCCCGCCATTGCTTGCTTTGTTATCACTCGCCCTTCTCCTCTAGCTCGATTTCGATCGGATCTGGACTGTGCTTTCTAAGCCCTAAACCTCCGTGTTATTTATAGGCCGGAAGGAGCTGAGACTCGTTGTTCCCAGTATTGTGCAAGATTATCCACAAAATCACGGGCTTGCCACAGCAGAATTTGCGATGATTGCAAATAGGGGCAGCCGTGGCATTGTGTGATTTGTGGGTAGCAAAAAAAATGGGTGAGTTTTGAGAGGCAGACCCTTTGCATTTTTCGAAGTGGTTGGGCGGTTGCCGACTACTTGCCACGACGCATTTCCGCGTCGCTAACGTCGAGGCGCAAGGGTAACATTTTTGGTGCAAGTACATTTGCAAACATAAATCAAAAGAGATATTTATAAGGCGATATTTATAGTACTTGTTATTTTCTCTTTCTATTTTTATATAATTAGATCAAAAGATAAATTATATACATACAGAGTGAAGATATTTTTATTAATTATTTTCAAAAAAAACTTAAAAATATGTAGTAAAATTTGTTGTCTTGAAATATTTATGAAGGGTGTAGCGTTCATAAGAGTCATCAGAATTTTTATATGGAAATCCTTTTAGAAAAATCATTGGTCTTGACCCAATTTGAATGAATTTATTAGTATTTGCAGTCGATTACAAATGAGGTTCTTCCTTTTGGGAATGTCTTCGCAAATATATATCATATAGAGTGCATTATATGGCGGGAATTTGAAGAATCAGTATTGACATTTTTGTTTGGTCTGCAGGACCATAGTCGACGGCAACAGAGGTCAAAAAGACCGTTAGTCGGGTAGTGGTAGTCGAAAGGACCATAGTCGGTGGATGACGGATGTCAAAAAGACTGTTATCATGCAACAAAGGTCATAAGGATTGTATTCAGCAGTCGATGAATGTCGGAAAGATCGTAGTTTACCAACATAAGTTGGAATTAAGGACCGTAGTTGACATGTGACGAAGGTCAGAATGATCGTTTTCTAGTGTCAAAGGTTGAAATGATCGTTGTCAGCATGCGAAGGTGGTCATAAGGATTGTTATCTGGTGATGGAGGTCTGAAGGGATCGTAGTCGGGGGGCAATGGAGGTCTAAAAGACCGTAGTTTGGCTACGGAGGTCGGAAGGATCGTAGTCGGCAGGCAGCGAAGGCCAAAAAGACCGTAATCTAATGACGAAGGTCGAAAGGACCGTAGTCGACAGACGATGTAGGTTAGAATGACTGTTATCTAGTAACGGATGTCAGAATGACCATAGTCAGCATCCGACTGTGGCCAGAAAAAACTATTATCAATGGTGGAGGTTAGAAGGATCGTAGTCGGCGGAAGACGATGGTTAGAAAGATTGTGGTTAGGAAACGGAGGTCGGAAAGACCATAGTCTAACTACGCAGTCTGCGGGCAAACGGGGGCCAAAAAGTCCATAGTTTAGTGATGAAGGTCGAAATGACCATAGTCGATAGACGGCAGAGGATAAGAGGATCGATATCTTGCCACATAGGTCCAAAGGATCATAGTCAACATGTGACTATGGTCAGAAACTGTTGTCAGCGATGAATGTCAGAAGGATCGTAGTCTGCGGGCGATGGTGGTCAGAAAGATTGTAGTCACGCGAAGGTGGTAGGAAGGACATAATTGGCGGACAATTGAGGTCAAAAAGATCTTAGTCAGTGACTGGTTGGGAGGAAATCCAGTGACAATCAATGGTTGGGTGAAATTTTGGTGATAATTGGTGGCTAGATAAAAGTCCAGCGATAATTCATGGTCTAGCGGTGGTCGAGGAGGAGCATGGTGGAAAGAGATATATCATGTTTCACTTCCTGTACTCTCTTTTTTTTCTTTCTTACTTGGACCCCGTCATTGAAGAATTATATTATATTTAAAGTTTTTTGGGAGTGGCATGACCAGTAAGTAGGGAGAATATCAAGGGCATGTTGGGCGAATTTGAAATGGACGACCGATATGGACTCCCTTGATTATAAACCATATATCAAGTATTTAAGTGTGTTAATGATGTCAGAATTCAACGATCTTAGTCTCGGTAGATTTGTCTCGTCGAGCCACTCGATTTAATTATAAGCATGTCATATTTAGAAATCGTTTTGTATGTAGTTTATAGTCTGAACCATTCAAATTCACTTTGGATTTTTTATTTGGAACCATTCCGACTCATATTGGGTTGAATTTGGTGTCGTTGGGTTCGTCTTTTTGAGACATTCAGTTCGACTATAAATTTGCTGAAATAAGAGATCGAATGGTCTCAAATTAAATTTCAGAAGTTTTCAACTTAAATTTGCCTTGAAATTCGTGCCCAATATAGATAAAATTTTTTATGATATATCAAAAATATATAAAATCACAATATTATAATATTTTAATAGGTTGTGAAAATCATATCAGACATAAAACAAAAAGGAGAGGTTCAAAGTTTAATGTTTTGATCCGGACTTAACTAAATAATATAATTAATATTAAAATTATTCAATTATAATAGAAATTATATAATAAATGAAGTTTTTAAAAATAAATATTTAATTATCTCTATTAAGACTCTTAAACAAACTCAATTAAAAAATATAAAGTGTGGTAAAAAAACTTGATTAATTATTAATATGAATCTAAATATGTGTATTATAAATATAAATATATGAACATTAAATATACTTATAAAAAGTCACGATCGTCCTGGACGGTTCCCAGAACTATTCTCATGACGGTATTTTGAACAGTACAGATCGGCCTGGACGATCTCACTATCGTCCCGGACGATCCTGGGAGGAAAATCCAAGTCAAAGAGGAACAATAAGGGAACGAGGTCTCACAAGTTTGGGAGAAAATTCAAATCATGACAAAATTTTGAGATGGAAAATTTCATTCACAATCTGATTATAAGTTTTCTTGTGAACATGTTATCATTCTAAAATATGATGTTAATTATAATTTATTTAGTTCAATTTCAGTAATATAGTTTTTAGACAAAATGAATATGCAAACATTCATATAGAGAAAAAATTTTACGGAAACTAAAATACATCCAAGTCATTTAGATCGAATTAGGGTTTATTTAGGATTTCTTTTATATATATGCATATACATATTAAATAGCATTCATAATTTTTTTTTTTTGCTATTATTGTCTTTGATATATTCTCGAAAAAGTATATTGATCGGCATGAATCTCGAGGCAAAACCCAACCTGGAAACTTCAAAAATTAATTTTGGGAGCACCTAAATTCCGATTTCAGCGAGCTTACAGTCAAACTGAGCGTCTCGGAAATACAAAACCAACGACACCAAATTCAACTCAACCCGAAGCGCTGTTGGAAGGTTCAAACCACAATTTGAGTTACCAAACAGTCTCCAATTTTAACGATCTTATACTCGAATCGAACAGCTCGACGAGACAAATTCAACGAGCCCAAGATCGCTGAATTCCGACATCATTAAGGCCTTCAAATGTCCAACGAACGGTACATGATCGAAGGGTTCAACATCAACCGTCCATTCGACCACTCCATATTAGACCCTGATCTCACACCTATTTATAAGCCATGTCACTCCATAAAATATATAAATATAGCACTCATTCTACACAAAGGGACTCAAGTGAGGAGAGAGAAGAAGAGGAGAAAGGGGAAAGGGAGAATCATCTCCTCCTCGACCACCGCTGGAGCTCTTCCCGTCGCCTGAATACGCCGGAACTCTGCCGGATTTTCAAGAACGACGGGATTTTGCAAAACTTTGTAACTTTGCTGATTGTAAACTGATTGTCTCAACTTGTGAGACGAATCAGTCTTTGTACTTCAAACAAATACTAGTGAAATTATTTCAACTGGGCGTGGCCCCGTGGTTTTTTTCCCTCTTTCGGGTTTTTCCACGTAAAAATCCTAGTGTACATTTTCTTTCTGTTTGTGTGTGGAATATAAAAGAGCTTGCTGCAGAATCAAGTATCCATTCTGAAGTATTGGAGCTTTGATTTTGAGAAAGCAGAGCACGACTGGGCTCTGAAGAGGATGATGAGTAACGATACCAGCAGGTCACAGCAGTGTGTCCATTCTTGGCACATATCTGACAGACGGGACGAGTGTTTGGAGTCGTAGCTTGAGGACGTCCAGCATTGGATTGTTGCCGAGAGGTCATTCCGCGGCCTCTGGTATTCATACGTCCCCTGTTATTTCTCCCTCGGCTGGAGTAAAAGGCTAAGTTGTCAGTTGCTGGGGGAGTATCCTTTCTCAGTTCATTTTGTATATTTATTTCTTCACTGCACAAAAGAGAGTATAAAGTCTCCAAGCTGATAGGAAGCAGAGAAGTTCGTACAGAGCTCTTGAAAAAGTTATACGAAGCCGGCAAACCATTGAGAATGTACATTAAAATGTCTTCAGTGTCCACGTGAGAACCTGCAGCAGCTATATTATCCACAAGAGTTTTAACCTGAGCCAAGTATTGCGTCATTGAAGAATCCTTCATCTGTATATTATGCAACTCATTTTTGAGTTGTATAACACGCGACCTGTTGGTCGGCTGGAGCCTGGTGGCCAGCATTGCCCAAATCTCGTGTGCAGTAGACAAGTGAAGTACATAGGAAAGTACTGATGGAGATATTGTTGAGAATAAAGCCGATACCAGGTTTTGATCTATAAGGCGCCACAGCTTGTATTCGGGATCGGTCACGGAACAACTCGGGCAGGCTTGTTGTCCTGATAGGTAACCTTCAAACCCATTCGCTGCAAAAAGTTTGTGAATCTGAAGACTCCATATAGCATAGTTCTCATTTGAGAGCTGAATGTTAACTATGGTTTTCAGGTTAGACATCAAGAACTTTAGCGGAGCAGGGATTGTGAATTCTGCCATTGTTGAGGTTAGAGAAGATACCGGAGGAGCAACGTCAGCTGCAGCTGGCGGAAGAGCAGTCGAAGATGATGAATCTGGATTAGCCATGATGCAGTTGCTCTGATACCATAAAAGAGCTTGCTGCCTGTTAGAGCCTGCAAGCAAGAAGAAGAGAAGCGAGCAGCAGAGGAGAAGAAGAAACAGAGTGATATTGAAGTTACTGTAGCA